CGCCAAAACCCCAAAACCCCAAAACCCCACTTGATTTGATTTATAGAGAATTTTATTAAAAAATAAAGAAATCAATTATTATACTACCTCTAATTAGTTGTGACCCAAGAAGAGGTTGAACTTTAAGTATCATCGAAGGTGCCATATGGAGCATTCCCACTTCCTTAGTTTCCATACTTTGCTTTGAAATTGTCCTAATAGTATCTTTGTTTAGGATCGACTGTAAGCACTTTTTGCTTTGACCCAGCGAAAGGTAAGATATCTGGATTATCTCTATAGTCCAAAGACCAAACACTGGAGACCAGGTTGGCGAACTAAGAATCAGATTCGATAAGTGCTGATACATGGGCATAGTATTCAATGAACTCTAATTTTGATATCTTTTCAAGAGCCTAGTAGCCTTAGACAACCTAATGATGGGTTTCAAATGTTTATTCAAATTCATCTTCAATTTCCTTCTTAGTAGCTTTTCCTAATCTATAGTCTGGATGCTTTGCTCCATCATACTTCTGGAAAATATAATCAATGTCAACTAGTCCCTATTAATTGATATCTAGTTTGTCAAAAGCTTTCTCTACATAACTCGTTCTGTATTTATTCATAGGTCCTATCAGAACCTTAACAAATTCATCATAAAAAACTTGACCCTCTCCGTTAATATCAAAAGCCTTAAAAGCATTTTTAATATCAATTTCGGGTACATCAAATCTCATGTCTTTAATAACTTTATTGAAACACTAGAAACTGAGTGTACCGTTGTTACTTGAATCTTAATCTCTAAATTTGTCCCTCAAAGCAATAAGTCCTTTGATACCTTTTGTTGCAATGCTAGATCTAAATCTCTCAACTAAGATAGTCTGGTATTTAGCTAGCTATATCTTCTCAGTGTGAAATACAGAAGAAGCAACTGACCTTTCTGACCGCATGGATGGGGCTTGTGACATTGGACTATAGTTCTTTTTGTCTTGCAAATTCTAATTCATCTGCTATCTATCTGCATTTCTCTGATTTATTTCATCCTCTTATCTTTGATAATATTTGTTAGTTTATGCTGAGACTAAGGGATTTTCATTGCTAGTCTTTCCTCCTCTTGGGACTTATTAATTATAAGAGTAAACTGACTAAGTATCTGCATTGATTCTTTCATTTTCTCCTTCTTTCATGTGGTGATAGACTGACCTCTATTGACTATTGTTACTTTAAAGTTATTGGTCATTAAGACCTCCACTCCCGAGTTTGTTAGAACTTCCATAACCACTATAATCTGCAGAATTAAACTAGACCATGCTCTATGATCCCCCTGAGATATTCCAAACATTAGAAATCATTATAGAGAAGTATTCATCAGAGTCAATCATAGTGCCCAGATTAGTGTAATACTCCATGAACTCATCAAAGTTTATTTGGGGTATTCTGGATGTTGAAGCCCCAGTAATCAAAATATGATTCTCTTCAAAACTCTCTATAAACTCAGAGAGAATCGTTTCCTATGACCTCTTTCCCTGCATTACGTCTGGATGTCTCTTAGGATTGTAATTCTATCTAATGTCCTTTATATCTATCATCCCATCATCGTCTCTGTCAAGAATAATGAACACTCTCTCAACTAGTTCTTTTCTGTAGTCATTCATCTCATCCTGAATGTATAAGATTACTTGAATTATTAATTACCCTTAATGAGTTTATGACATCCTTAACATTCACCAGTGACAATCTTTTGCGATCATATAGATTAAACAGTTTTTCGAGTTCCTGATCCTATAGATTTTCCAATCTGAAGTCAAACAAGGCCTTTTTGAATTATTGCAGACTAATTCTACCTTTTCCCTCATTGTCAACTTTCTTCAATATTTTTTGCAAGCCAATGAGTCCTCTCACTCCTCGTGCTTAAATTAGGTCTTTAAACCGTTTTAAAAGATCTTAAACAGGCTCCATTAATGTTTTCTGGGTACTAAAGTTGATTTAGCTCTGATTTCTCTGTCCAGAGAATCTACCTTGGGATTAAGACATTGATGTCTGAGATTCCAGGTAGGATGATCCAGCTTCTGAAAATTAGGTACTTCTGCAAACAATTGTTGAGAATTCTTTGTAGTCTATAAGCCCTGTTCCTCTGCTATCAAAAGCATTAAACACATGAATCAATTCCTAAAGTTATTAAGAGCAAATTTTATTTACATCTTCTGTGAATACTTAGAGCCCAATTTTATCCATTGCTCTCATAAAGTCCGCCTGCTAAATTTCACCTCTGTTTTGAATATCATAGAACTTGAATGTCTTGAATAGTACATTTTCTTCTGACTGATTTTTCTGTGCCTTAAGCTGTAGTCTATTTCTCAACTACTTTTAGAAACTAAAATCTCATGAGCTGAGTCACATAAATAATTATTCGTTTTGCTTACTTTTCTAGAAGTGACATTAAAGATTTAATAAATTCTTTGCTACAGTATATTTGAATAACCTTATATTCTTAATAAATTTTGTGATTAATAGATATAGGGGTTTTGGGGTTTTGGGGTTTTGGGG